GAGTGGTTAGGAGGATGGAGTAGGGGGTGAAAGAAAGGAAGAGGTGGAGGTGGTGTAGGCCGTGATTCAGTTGTTTTGGCCGCTTGTTGTTGCTTGCTCATAGCCATTGTGAGAGACAACGAGGTACCTGTGTTGACACCTATTGTACCTGGGTGGTGGCTGGTGTGGGCCAGGTACACCAACACACACCACCACTACTATCACCATCACACCACCCTCACACCACCACTACTATCACCATCCTACCACCACCACCCTCACACACTACACCCCCTACTATCCCTACCACTACCCACCCACACACTACCACTACCACCACCCTCCACACCACCCTCTCACACACTACGACTACCACCACCCTCACACACTACACCCCCACCACCCACCACCCCTCCCACCACCACCCACTACCCACCACCCCACACCACCACCACCACCTCCACACCACCACCACCACCCCTCACACACCACCACCCACACACACACCACCTTCACACACACACCCACCCCTCCACACACCACTCCCACCACCCTCACACACCACCACCTCACTACCACACCACCACCTCACACTACACACCCTCCCACCACACTCACCACCCTCCCTACACCACCACCCTCACACCACCACCACCCTCACACACCACCCTCCCCTACCACACTCACACCACCCCTCCATACCCACCACCCTCACACACCACCCTCCACCACCCTCACACACCACCACCCTCCACTACCACCCCACACACACACCACCACCCCTACACACCACTCCCCTACCACCACCCCCTCACACTCACACCACCACCCTCACACACCACCACCCCCCACCACCCCACACCCCCACCACCCTCACACACACACCTCACACCACCACCCTCACACACACCACCACCCCCACACCTACCACACACCTCCACACACCACCTACCCACCCTCACACCACCCTCACACACATACCACCCCTCCACACACCACCTTCACCACCACCACCCTCACCCACCACTACCCACCCCACACACCTACACCACCCCCACCCCAGAGACACCAGGGCACCTTAAACCACCAGGATTAAGTAGCAGACAGGCATACAGCCAACCGTGTGGCCTGAGACTCCCTGTGGCCCAAGACTCCTGTGGCCCAAGACTCCTGTGGCCCGATACCCCTGTGGCCTAAGACTCCTGTGGCCCGATACTCCCTGTGGCCTAAGACACCCTGTGGCCTGAGACTCCGGTGAGACCTCTGTGGCCCAAGACTCCTGTGGCCCAAGACTCCTGTGGCCCGAGACTACCCAGGCCGAGACTCCCTGTGGCCTGAGACTCCCTGTGGCCTGAGACTCCCTGTGGCCAGAGACTCCTGTGGCCCGAGACTGTGGCCCGAGACTCCTGTGGCCTGAGACTCCCCTGGCCCCAAGACCCCCGTGGCCCAGAGTCTCCCCTGTGGCCTGAGTCTCCCTGTGGCTCGAGACCCCTGTGGCCTGAGACTCCCTGTGGCCTAAGACACCCCTGGCCTGAGACTCCCTGTGCCTGAGACTCCCGTGGCCTAAGACTCCTGTAAGATACCCCAGGCCGAGACTCCCCTGTGGCCTGAGACTCCTGTGGCCTGAGACTCCTGTGGCCTGATACTCCCTGTGGCCTGGATACTCCTGTGGCCTGAGACTCCCTGTGGCCTGATACTCCCTGTGGCCTGAGACTCCTGTGGCCTGGAGACTCCCTGTGGCCTGAGACCTCAGCCCGAGACTCCTGTGGCCTGAGACTCCCTGTGGCCTAAGACTCCTGTGGCCTAGACACCCTGTGGCCCGAGACTCCCTGGCCTGAGACTCCATGTGGCCTGAGACTCCCTGGCCCGAGACCCCTGTGGCCCGGAGTCTCCCTGTGGCCTGGGACTCCTGTGGCCTGAGACTCCTCGTGGCCCGAGACCCCTGTGGCCTGCTGACCCTGTGGCCTGGAGACTCCCTGGCCCGAGACTCCTCTGGCCCGAGACCCTGTGGCCCAGACTCCTGTGGCCTGAGACTACCTGTGGCCTGAGACTACCTGTGGCCTGAGACTCCCTGTGGCCTGAGACTCCTGTGCCTGAGACTCCTGTGGCCCAAGACTCCCTGGCTCAGAGACTCTGTGGTAGGAAGACTCCTGTGGCCTGAGACTCCCGTGGCCTGAGACTCCTGTGGCCTGAGACTGTGGCCTGAGACTCCCGTGGCCTGAGATTCCCGTGGCCCGAGACTCCCTGTGGCCCGAGACTCCTTGTGGCCTGAAACTCCTGTGGCCCGAGACTCCCTGTGGCCTGAGACTCCCGCTCCGAGACTCCTGTGGCCCGAGACTTGCTGGCCTGAGACCCCTTGTGGCCTGGAGACTCCCTGTGGCCCGAGACCCCTGTGGCCTGAGACTCCTGTGGCCTGATACCCCTGTGGCCTGAGACTCCCTGTGGCCTGAGACTCTGTGGCCTGAGACTACCTGTGGCCTGAGACTCCCCTGGCCCGAGACTCCTGTGGCCTGGAGACTCCCTGTGGCCGGTGAGAATGGGAGAGAACCGTAAACCTGGAGCCTCTAGGAATGGCTCTCGTCATTTCCTTTGGCATTTGTATAGGAAAGAACTTGTGGTGATGTATGGGTAGAAATATGTTTTCTCTCTCTCTTTCTCTCTCTTTCTTCTCTCTCTTCTTTTCTCTCTTTCTCTTTCTTCTTCTCTTCTGTCTTTTCTCACTCTCTCTGTCTCTCTCTCTCTTTCTCTCTTCTCTCTCTTTTATCTTTCTGTTTATCTCTTCCTCTCTCCACCCTCTCTCTCCCTTTCTTACGGATTCAACTCTTTTTTTCATTCATTCTTGTGAGAGTGTACAGGTAAGAGTGTACAGGTAAGAGTGTACAAGTGAGAGTGTACAGGTAAGAGGTACAGGTAAGAATGTACAGTGAGAGGTACAGGTAAGAGTGTACAGGTAAGAGGTACAGTGAGAGTGTACAGGTAAGAGTGTACAGGTAAGAGGTACAAGTGAGAGTGTACAGTAAAGTGTACAGGTAAGTGTAGCAGGTAAGAGTGTACAGGTAAGAGTGTACAGGTAAGAGTGTACAAGGAGAGTGTACAGGTGAAGAGGTACAGGTAAGAATGTACAGGTAGGAGGTACAGGTGAGAGTGTACAGGTAAGAGTGTACAGGTAGGGTGTACAGGTAAGAGTGTACAGGTAAGAGTGTACATGAGGGTGTACAGGTAAGAGTGTACAGGTAAGAGTGTACATAAGACTGTACAGGTAGGGTGTACAGTACAGGTGAGAGTGTACAGGTTAGAATGTTCAGTTAAGAGTGTACAGGTGAGAGTGTACAGGTAAGAGTGTACAGGTAAGAGCAGTACAGGTAAGAGTGTACAGGTAAGAGTGTACAGGTAAGAATGTTCAGTTAAGAGTGTACAGGTGAGAGTGTACAGGTAAGAGTGTACAGGTAAGTGTACAGGTAAGAGTGTACAGGTAAGAATGTTCAGTTAAGAGTGTACAGGTGAGAGTGTACAGGAGAGTGCATATAAGAGTGTTATGTAAGAGGTACAGGTAAGAATGTACAAGTGAGTGTACAGGTAAGAGTGTACAGGTAAAAGAGTGTACAGGTAAGAGAGTGTACAGGTGAGAGTGTACAGGTGAGAGGTACAGGTAAGAGTGTACAGGTAAGAATGTACAAGTGAGAGTGTACAGGTAAGAGTGTACAGGTAAGAGGTACAGGTAAGAGTGTACAGGTAAGAGTGTGTACAGGCAGAGTGTACAGGTGAGAGGTACAGGTAGAGTGTACAGGTGCATGTACAGGTAAGGACCAACAGGTGAGAGTGTACAGGTAAGAGGTACAGGTAAGAGAGTGTACAGGTAAGAGTGTACAGGTGAGAGTGTACAGGTGAGAGTGTACAGGTGAGAGTGTACAGGTAAGAGTGTACAGGTAAGAGTGTACAGGTAAGAATGTACAAGGAGAGGTACAGTAAGAGGTACAGGTAAGAGTGTACAGGTAAGAGTGTACAGGTAAGAGTGTACAGGTAGGAGGTACAGGTAAGAGGTACAGGCAGTGTACAGGTGAGAGTGTAGAGGCAGGGGAGGTACAGGTGAGAGTGTACAGGTCAGAGTGTACAGGTAAGAGTGTACAGGTAAGAGGTACAGGTAAGAGTGTACAGGTAAGAGTGAACAGGTAAGAAATGCACAAGTGAGAGGTGTACAGGTAGGGAGTGTACAGGTAAGAGTGTACAGGTGAGAGTGTACAGGTAGGAGTGTATCAGGTAAGAGGTACAGGTGGGTAAGAGTGGGTACAGGTAAGAGGTACAGGTGAGAGTGTACAGGTAAGAGTGTACAGGTGGGAGGGTGAACAGGGTAAGGAGGTACAGGTGAGAGTGTACAGGTGAGAGGTACAGGTGAGAGTGTACAGGTAAGAGGTGGGTAGAGACAGGTAAGAGTGTACAGGTAGAGGTACAGGTGAGAGTGTACAGGAAGAGTGTACAGGTGAGAGGTACAGGTGAGAGTGTACAGGTGAGAGTGTACAGGTGGAAGTGTACAGGTAGGGAGTGTACAGGTGGGAGTGTACAGGTAAGAGGTACAGGTAAGAGGCATGGGTAAGAGTGTACAGTGAGATTGTACAGGTAAGAGTGTACAGGTAGAGTGTACAGGTGAGAGGATGCAGGTAAGAGTGTACAGGAGAAGTGTGTACAGGTGAGAGTGTACAGGTAAGAGTGTACAGGTAAGAGGTACAGGTGAGAGTGTACAGGAAGAGGTACAGGTAAGAGTGTACAGGTGAGAGTTACAGGTAAGAGTGTACAGGTAAGAGTGTACAGGTAAGAGTGACAGGGAAGAGTGTACAGGAAGAGTGTACAGGTAAGAGTGTACAGGTAAGAGTGTACAGGTAAGTAAGAGTGTAGGTGTAGAGTGTATAGGTAAGAGTGTACAGGTAAGAGTATACAGGTAAGAGTGTATAGGTAGTTTTGTGCAGGTGAGAGTGTATAGGTAGGAGGTACAGGTAGGGAGTGTACAGGTAGAGAGGTACAGGTAAGAGTGCAGGTAAGAGTGTACAGGTAAGAGGTACAGGTAAGAGTGTACAGGTAGGGAGGTAAAGGAAGAGGTACAGGTCAGAGTGCAGAGTGAGAGTGTACAGGTAGGAGTGTAAAGGTAAGAGTGTACAGGTCAGAGTGTACAGGTAGAAAGTGTACAGGAGAGTGTACAGGTAAGAGTGTACAGGTAAGAGTGTACAGGTAAGAGTGTACAGGTAAGAGTGTACAGGTAAGAGTGTACAGGTTAGGACCAGGTAAGACTCAGCAGGTGGGCCATAATCAACAAAGTTTTAGTGGGTCGTCTGAGAGGTGCTACTGTTGGACCCTCACACCTGTGTGTCTCACCTGCCCCTCCTCCTTCTCCTACTCCCTCCCTCCCCCTCCCTCCTTCCTCCTCCCCTATCCAATCGTCCCATCCTCCTGCTACTACTCCTCCTCTTCCTCCTTCCCCCTCTTTCTTCTCCTCCTATCTCCCCAGGTAGCCAGTAGATCCTCCTCCCCCTCCTCAAGTCAGGCAGCCACCCAACTCCTCCCAGGTATTTCCTCCCTCTGTTGCAGGAGCAGGTAAGAGTTGCACGTATATTGCAGTGTCATCTTGCATTGTCCCCTCATAATACATTTGGACGATTGACTGTTTATCACACCTGACAGCTGTATAAATGTTGAAAAGAGGTTTATTGAATAAGGTGAGGTCACGCTAATTAGAGATGTCACCTGAAGGGGAGGGGAGGAGGAGGGAAGGAGGAGGAGGAGGAAAGGAGGGGAGGAGGAGGGAAGGAGGAGGAGGAGGGCGGGGTGGGGAAAAAGAAGGGGAATGGGAGGGGGAATGGAAGGGGGAGAGTGGGGCGGGGGAAAAGGGAGGATAGGGGTAGGAAGGGGAGTGGGTAGGATTTTTATAGAGTCTTGTGGTGGGGGTGGGTGGAAGGGAGGGGGAGGGGTTAATGGCTAGGGTTGGGGGGGGTTAAGGGGCAGGGAGGATCTCATAGTTAGCAAGGTCGTTGTTAAGGACACCTGGTCTCCCACCCCACCCCACCCCTTCGCTAACGGACGTGGTTCTTTAACTGCGACCTAAGTACAGGTTAGGTTAGGTTCGGTTAGGTTCGGTTAGGTTCGGTTAGGTTAGGTTAGGTTAGGTTAGGGTTAGGTTAGGTTATTAGGTCTGCCAGGCTAGGTTAGGTTAGGTTCGGTTAGGTTAGAGTTGGGTTAGGATAGGTATGGGTCATGACGTACACACACACACAATAACGTAAGGTGTTCAGATAATTTAACAAACAAATATATTCACTTCACACTAAAAACACTTTACAGGTGACGATAAACCCGGGGCACTGTACACTTAATGTGGTGTTCATTTAATTTCTTCAGATACATAACACACACACACACACACACACACACACACACACACACACACACACACACACATTAAGGTGTACAATGGCATAGGTGTACAGAGACAGGTGTAAATAAAGACAGGTGCGCACAGGTGTACATTCCTAAGGACGCCACGTGAAGAGTTAATAAAGGTTTCTCTTTTACGTGATTATATATTGTATTCTCTCTCTCTCTCTCTCTCTCTCTCTCTCTCTTCTTCCTTATGCCTCTGTTTAAATATTTTTTTCCTTTTCTCATAACGAAATCATGGTCTTTACGACTACTTACTCCTAACCTAACCGAAAGTGACGTCACGTGCTCCATAATGACATCATATAGTCCATAATGACGTCACACAGTCTATAATGACATCACACAACAACCTCAGCGTCCGTCACCAGAGAGGCCAGCAGGAGGCCGCTACTGGAGGCCTTACCTTTATAACCTGATGATTAAGACACCTACGGCACGTCCTGGTCTGGTGAGGGAGGGGGGAGAAGGAAGGGCGAGAGAGGTAGAGTGAGGAAGAAAGGTGAGGGAGAGAGGGAGGAAAAAAAGAAGGATGAGGGAGAGAGGGAGGAATAGGAGTTTGGGAGGAGTAAGGAATGGGGTGGTGAGGGAGAAAGAGATAAAGGGAGATTAAGAGGTGAGAGAGAACCGTAGACATTGAGATAGACCCACCCCCTTTCACACCCCACACACACACAACACCAACAGGAATAGCAGACACCTCCTAATAAGACCTGTTTACAAGACCACACCGAGTATACCCGTCTCTTCTTTTAGGTCTTTGTCGGCCGTGTAAATTATGGTACAACTTACTGGGTGGGGCGGGGTGGGGTGGGTGTGGGTGGGGAGGGTGGGGTGATGGGTTGTCAAAGGGTGCAGGGTGTTGGTTCAGGAGTGGGTCACTCCGGTGGTCTTACAGGTAGGTCTTACAGATAGGTCACAGGTAAATGAGATGGGCGTGGTCAGGGGTTACACACACACACACACACACACACACACACACACACACAACCACACACACACACACACAGGCACAGCAGGCCAAGGAAGGGCCAGGAAACCAGAACGACCCCATCAACAGAGGATAATATTAACGACCATGTTTAACACCTGCCCTCC